TTGATCAGGAATTTCTGTGAGATTATGTTTTTGGAATACCTAAGTTGTACTAGTTTGGCTTCGCTACATAGTTTCAATAATGAGTTTTTGTCGTTTTCTACAATTTTTTAGTGATTCAGTATTGTGTAGGAACCAACAGAATAATTAGATGATTTGTTATAGATAATGTATATTGTTTTATCAACAGTGAACAGATCATAGTGGGTGTTACATGGAGTGCTTTAGTTTTTGACGAACGGTCTTGCGCATTTTTCATTCTGTAAAGTATAGCGTTCATAATATCGTAGTTTTCCTGTTGCCCGGACTCTTACTTTTAGAACTGTGTTACGTTCTTTAACACTTCTTACAATTCACGCTGAATTATTCTTGCTTTAATTAGTGCCGAAAGACTTGCTCGAAGGAAATTTGCCGATGGTGGTGACGCAGGTGAAAATAGTGGAACTTCAGTACAAATTAAACCAGAGGTTGAACTTGAAGAGGGAGAGCTTGAAGACTCTCATATAGATAAGGTATATTCATTTGTCTAGTACAGTCGTTTCATTACTTTCATAGACCTCTTTGACTAGGTCTTTATTTTTATGTAATTCTTCAGTTTTTATTCTGTATTTATTTTCCTGCTTTTTTTTCTCTCTTTTTAAAGAAAATAGATAGATTAAGCTTAAATAAAATTCATTTTAATATTTTATCCCGAAGTGATTCTTGAACATTGTTTGTTTCAGTAGCTTTGTAAATTAAGTTGCTGTTCTTTAAATGCAACTTTTCATTTGTTTTTAGGGCGCTTGGCAAACAGCTCGAATGAGTGGTATCGTTGACGTTAATAAGCTAAGTAAGTTGGCAGAGAAGGAGGATGACGATGACGACTCTGAAGGTTCGGTTTTTGGTGTCCTTGGTGCTTCATACCCCTACAGTATGTTTAAGTCTCTTTACCTTTATTGTGGTTTAGATGAGGGTGTTGATCTCACTGGTGTGGTTATTGAGGATGACGCTGAAAGCGAACTTGCCGCTGTTCTTGATCGTGCTCGGAAGCTTCGTCGAGTTGAGGTTAAAAAAGAACCAGAAGATGCAGATGCAGCGTTGAAGGTTTTTCGATTAGAGTTGTTTTGAATGTTTTTTTTTCAGTTTTCTGTTGGGAACTTTCTTTGTTGTCAGAAATATGTGTCCCGGTTACTGGTTTAATACTTTTACCGTTCGCTATTCTTTTTATCCTTAAGGTGCATCAGATTTTGGCTGAACATTCTGTGAAGCAAGAGCCGATGGACGAAAGTCAAGAACAAGTTGGCACTGCTGGGGGTGTTGTTATAGATTCGACTATGGAATATTGTCGCAATTTGGGTTAGATTTAACAATAATAAAGTGTTTTTAGTTTAAGTCATTCTTCATTCTTTTTTCAATTCGGAGATTTGTCTGTCATTCATATAGGTCTCACTTTTTATAGGAGAAATTCCCACATATGGGTTGGCTGGCAATCGTAAAGATGCTGATGATATGAAAGATTTGGGAGACAAGCAGGCAAACAGTGATGACGAATCGGATGACGATCAGACAGAAGTAGTCCGAAAAAGGTTGTAGCAACGAGTATCAAACGTTTTTATGTATCATCTTCTCATTCATTCGTTTAGGCATCGAGAGGAACGTAAGCATGGCATTATGAATGATTACGAACAGGCTATCAAAGATGCGAAACAAAATAGTAAAGGAAAGTGGTTTGAAGCGACCGCTACAACCTCGGCAGATTTTGATAAGTCTCTAAGGGATGGTTATAGAAGTGATGATGAAGTGAGACTTTTTTCTCTTTTTTTTTGAGTACATCCTTGTTTTTTCTTCTTTCTTCTAAAAAGTTTTTTGCAGAGCATACTAGAAAATTATAATGTTCTTGGTGAGGAAAGAGATGTGACGAAAGGTGTCGCAGCAATGCTAAAATTAGCGGCGGAGAAAGGTTACTTAGAATCCCGTGAGAAGCGGAAAGTGAAAGGGCCTTCGTTGAAACACTTGGAAAGCAAAAGATTTTCGCAGATCGAAACTAGCCGATAGTCAGTTTTTGCTGTTTTATAATTGTTTCTCATGGTTTCTTCAACAGCATTTTTTAGCGATATTGAGGAGAAGTATACAAAGAAATTAGAAAGAATGGGCACTACCGGTACTGGACCAGTGCGTCCCTTTCCAGAAAAAGCCGATTATAAACCGGACATTCAAATTACTTATATTGATGAACGAGGCCGAGAGATGGAGTCGAAGGATGCATTCCGCGTTCTGAGTTGGAAGTCAGTTGACCTTCTAATTGGAGGCAGTTAGCGGGAGATATTTACTCATATCTTTTATGTAAATTGAATATTTAAATTTAGATTTCATGGTAAAGGACCTGGTAAGAAACAAGTAGAGAAGCGCCAAGCGAAATTACTCAAGAAGGAGCTCATGAAGAAAATGAACTCATCTGATACTCCGTTAGGAACGTTGGATAAACAGCTGAAGAAACAGGAGTTACTACAAACTCCATATATAATTTTGAGCGGTACTGGAAGAGACACTGGGTTAGCTTCAAAGTTTGAACTATCATTTCATTGGTTCAAGAATTTTCTTAAAAATTCATTCTTATTTAATGTAAGTCATTTAGTCCATCAAAAAGGTATTCCGAGTATTTCTGTTCACTCCTTGTTATACCGATATAATAATATGCCACTGTCATAGTTTTTGGCAACACAGATATAATTTTTTAGCGCCCCGCTGAAAAAGGACTGAGGAGTTGTTGATGTGCAGCATTACTTACAACGAAGCAATCCTAGATTTTATTAAAAGCTCATTTTTGGTTTTGGTCATCAAATGCACTTTTCATTTCATTGTTTCATGGTTAGTTCAATAAAATTTATCAAATTATTCGACTTCAGTCAATTCAAATAACGTTATTAACAGAGGCATCAGAATTTATTTACAACTGGTGTTTTTGCCATAGCAGCACCTACATTATTGTCTTGGAGGGTGAAAAGCTGACCTAAATCTGATCTTGAAAATATCATGTACAATCGGTCAAGGATCATCAGATGTAGACCGACTTATAACACCCGATCTTTCTACAAACAGTTGGCGACTGTGCAACACTCGACTATTCAAATAGTCCTTAGTTCAGCAAACATGATTTTTCATTTCTTAGGAGACGGAACTGGGAGTGTTTTCTGCGGTGTTGCATAGCCATTCTACAACTGATCCTAAGAGGTTCATATTGCACGTTGGGTATCCTCTAAATTGCCTTTGCGGTTGAGGAGTCATGGAGTAGCCTTGAAGGGAGCTTTGAGCAAGCACTTTCTACTGTAATCACCATTTTCGGTCACACTCTTTCTATGTAATCAGTATTTGGTGATAAATTACCAGATGAAGCGGAGATAGGAATTAACGTCTGCATTGATACAGACCTGCTGCAAACACATTGGACCTGAAAGTGCGAAATGTTTAATTATTGCATGTCTTTTTATTCTACTCAAATTTTTTTCTTACGGGACATGCTGTAATTAATGCTGAAGCAAGACAAGATGTTAATGACACCCAAGCGGTACGAAGTTGTAGCTTGCTAGAATTCAGTCTAAGTTTCTTGTTTCACCAGAGTTCAAACCTTACTTGTACAGTAATATAGTAAATGCCATATTTCGACCGAAGCCGTTCGTTTGCTTCATGCACTACGTGGGTGGAGTCACATCCTTTTTCTGTATCTAGGTGTACGGATATAGCAGTTTTGTCCATGGTCAAAGACCAAACTCGTAAAGAGTGTACGTCGCGAACTCCTAAATGAAACTTTTGCTGAGAGAGGATGGTGGTACCGTTTAACGGACAAATTTTGATAATTCTGAGAGTCAGTTATTATCAGAGTATGGCAGGAATTTTGGGTTTTGAGTAGAGTTTAAAAAAGATGAAATTTATTTGCATGAAAATGAAGACTTTTAGAGTTTTTTTTTCCAATAACTCACCATCAATGGAACAGAGGTCTAAATGCAATGCCTTGACGTCCAGATTTCTTGGGGCAGCTTCCATTAGTATCAGAAGCGCATCTCGAAGCACTGTTATCGTTGTAATCTGTAACCAGAAATTGTAGGCTTTGGTAGTTTGTGTATACTTCCAAAGAATAACTTCTTGTAAATTTGCTTTTAAATACCCAGCTGCAAAGATGAAATACCAAACGTTGCCAGAGCTAAAGGCGAATAAAGATAAGCCAATAGTTGGAAGACTGACCAGGACAAGGATGGAAAACAGGAAAGTACAGATTGGGTCTGCATATTTCCAACCAGTAAATCGAATGATCAGTGCTGCTATTAAGACGCCAATAGACTGCACGAGGTCACCAATGACATGTATTAGTGCTGCACGAACGTTTATGTTTGCCTTAAAAAACTTGTTAAAAGTAAAAATAAGTCAAAAACTGAATTAAATAAACTACAGATTTTGTATCCTAAAAAATTTCTTATGGAATATGCAGCTTCCGAAATTACGGCTTAGCCGCATGTCAGTTAGCCTTTGCTCAGTCGAATACACTGTATTCTTCAGTGTAGGAAGAAAGTGCTGACAACTGCTTGCAACATTCGATTCCAAAAATACAACTGTGTAGATGAACACGGACTCATTTCTGGCGAATACATTATACTTACACTGTCGTTTATAAAACAATACATAAATCTGACAAACTAACCTAAACCCAGGACAACACAATTTTCCTATTGAACAATAACGCAGACTACGTTTCAAAAAGTTATTATTTTAAAAAAAATTTTGTTCATTTGTAAAATACGAGATATTTTGAATTGTTCTTGTCTTTTTAACTTTTAAAAATTTTTGCTTACAAGAAAACTGTGTCTAGACGTTTGTGAAGTGGATAGGAAGACGCCTTGCAGAAACTGTTAAGAGTTCTGTACCGACAGATAAAATCAGCGTTTATTGTTGTGCATCGTCAACTTTTTATACCAGGAACAACAAACAAGAGACTCTGTTTTTCAAGCTCATTTTAGCATCAGTATAAACAAGTGAATATAGGGGCATTTACTGTGATCGTTGATTCCGTTATTGCCCCTTACTGTCCTCTGCAAGTGTCCTAAGCATCGACAATGACGCCGAACAATCAGAATCCGACTACACTGAGCAAC